TAGACTGCAGGCGGATCTTTCGAAAGAGCAATCCGCTTTTTCGAAAGAGAGCACCCAGCGAGTCTAGATGCTCTCTTTCGAAGATGGCCTCTTTACATTGAAGAATGCCTTCTTTCGAAAGAGGAACTTTCGAAAGAAGGCGTTCTTCCTCGTGAAACGAGGTTTACCGCCATCGAAAGAAAAGCCGCGTTCTTTCGAAATAATTTCGAAAGAACGCGGCTTGAGTCTGGACGCAGGGGAAGTTTTTTCGGGAAAAGGCTACTTTTCCCGAAAAAAACCCTGAGTCTGGACACGGCCAAAGAGATTGGTGTTCAGTACATTTGAAGCTAAAATAAAGAATATATTTCACTCTTCATTTAAAGTGGAATGTATATAAAATAAAAAGATGGTGTACACCAGGGGTAGGCAAAAGGGCCTCCGTGGGCCAGATTTGGCCCACAAAGTGGGTGGATCCAGCCCACAGAGGCCCAACTGCTCCCCTGCCCCCAGGCCAATTACGGCCTGGGGGTGAGGAGCGCGCGAAACCTCCTGCTGCCCTGCCAGGAGCATGTGGTACTTTGAAGCACCATGCACTGCTTGCAGGGCAAGGGGAAGAGCAGAGGAGGCTTCGTGCGCTCCCCCATCCCCAGGACCTAACTGGCCTACGGGCAGGGGAGCGAGGGAAATCTCCTCCCATGCCGGGGCATGGGCACCTTGGGAAACATGGGGTGGGGGCAAAGGCACTCCCTCGCCCCCAGACCAATCACTGTCTGGGGGTGGGGTTCCTGGAAATAGCTTGGCCTCACCCCTTCTGCTCGATGTCCTGCCCCTTCCTGTGCAGCCTAGGGCCACTTCAAAAATTTCCAAAGTGGTCCCGGGCTAGGGTTGCCAGGTGTCCGGTTTTGAACCAGACAGTCCAGTATTTGAGCTTTCTGTTTGGGAAACAAATTGAGAAAATATAAATGTCCAATATTTTCTAAAGAAGATTTAACTTAGATTGTGATGTAATGTCAAGTGCATCTGGTATTTTTGTTGAAACCATCTGGTAACCCTATCCCCGGCAAAAAATTATTGCTCATCCCTGGTATAGCCAGTAATGAATAATACAGTCTTTGGACTGACAGACTTGCTGAGCCCCAGGCAAGGTGGAGATGGGAGGGTGGGAGGGCTTTGAGCCCTGAGGTGAAAGGGGTAGGGCTAAGACTAGCCTCCCCCAAGCAGCCCTCAGTGCTACCCGGATTACGCCACACCTCCCTCAGGCAGCCTTTTGTGCTGCCCAAAGCACACCATGAGGGGCTCTGGCAATGATCTAAAGCAGGAGTGGGGAACCTTTTTTGGGTTGGGGGACCACACACAAGTGAGAAGCTGAAAAAACCGCAAACCCTCACTGACATGGCCCCTGACTGAGAAGGAGAAAGACACTCCCCACATCTCCCTCACACACCAGAGCCTAGTGGGGCCCTGGCTAGTAGATTTTCAGCGCTCCAGTCCTGCAGTAGGTGGAAGCTCCTCTATGCTGAAGTGGGAGTCTTCAGCCCCAGGGGCTGAATCTAGGCAAGCTGAGGGCCACATCCAGCCCTTGGACCTGAGGTTCCCCTCCCCCGATTGAAGGGTCTGGGCCTCCAGTTACTGCCCCTGCCACAGTAAGTAGCAGTAGCAGGTTCCATGCCTAGGGTGGCCTGAGACAACCCTCCCAGGAGCCCAGGGCAACTCCCACTCTGTTTCTACTCCACCAACTTCTGCCCCACTTCACCCCTTCCTCCAATCCCTGCCCTTTCTGCACCCCGCCTCTTCCCGCTGCCATTGCACCACCTTCCCTAAGCCCCCTTGCCACATGACATCAGCTGGAGGATTACCTGGGGCCTGGCATGGGGCAGCAACAAGCAGTGTCCCTCTCTTTTCCCCTCCATATTCACCATGAGGGCAAGAATTGGAGATAACTGGCAGCCTTCTTGGACACCCTCTCCCAACTTTCTTTGCTCTGCTCCACCTTGGCAATGGGAAGCAGAGCGACCTAGCCTTGGCTCCAGCCTGCTACCCGGGGGAACGGGCCAGGGCTAGAAAGCTCCACTTCCTGCTGCCGTGGTAAAGCAGAATACAGCAGGCAGGAAGATGGGCAGCAGAACAGAGCAGGCTATTGGATAATTCTGGCTCCTGCCCCAGGGTGAGTGAGGAGGAAAGGAGGACCCCCTAGTCTCACCCTGCACAAGCCCCCACAGGTAATACCCCACGCAGCCTCGTATCCTGCAGCTAACATGGGGAACTGTCCCATCCATAGGACATTTGAGGCAGCCGCCATGGGGGGCCCCCCAAAGTGCAGGCCTGGGGCAGCCACTCCAACCCATCCTATAGACAGGACAGCTCTGGGTGACAGTGGCTGGGAGCTCAGGTCCCTTTGAATTGATGGCCCTTGTTCTGGTTTTATTAAAATTAATATGGTCAAAAGCACCATTTTTCTTTTGTGTAATAAAGTTCAAAGCTGTATTAAGTCAATGTTCAATTGTACACTTGGGAAAGAGCAGCCATACAATTTTGTTCAGAGTTTGCAAACATGTCAGAGTTACCCTTAAGTGTCTAACTCTGAGGGTCAGCAGTGGTTTACAAATATTTCATTATAGAAAGAAGTATTACCAAATACAATATTGTCGTCTTGGAGATTCAAGAAACATATGACACCATGGTGCTATCTAAAAGGAAACAAAAACAGTTTCAAATAAATAAACAGTACTAATCAACTAAATATAAATAATTATCTGGACTTTGTCACAAATAGAAGGTAGAAAACCACACCGGTCAAATAAATGTTGTAATTTGGTCAACTTCAGCAACCTTGCAGCCTGTGCATGCTAACTAGATGAGTTTGTAGAACACATAATAAACAGCACTGAAACAAACACTTCTACATAACTATCTGAAGTGGTAAACAGCTTTTGCCCTGCCCACGCAAAAGGCCCTGTTGTACATCTTGGGAGGGATAAGATCCACTCTCTGATAAGATCCACTCTCTGCCGTTTTACAGCACTGGGATTCTGCTAAACACAGCCTAGAGCTGTGAGCCACTAAGGCCAATTATGGCAAGGGTGGGAAATCATTTTTTGTAGAGGCCACTCTGGACATTTTTGAAGTGGCCCACTCAGGAAGGGGCTGAGCATCCAGCAGAAGGGGTGGGGCCAAGATATTTCTGGGTTCCCCACCCCCAGACAATTATTGGACGGGGTGTGGGAGTGCCTTTGCCCCCCCACCCCACTTTTCCCCAAGGTCCCCATGCCCCTGGCATGGAAGGAGACTTCCCTGCTCCCCTGCCCCTAGGCAAATTAGGGTGAAGTGGCCCACTCAGGAAGGGGCTGAGCATCCAGCAGAAGGGGTGGGGCCAAGATATTTCTGGGTTCCCCACCCCCAGACAATTATTGGACGGGGTGTGGGAGTGCCTTTGCCCCCCCACCCCACTTTTCCCCAAGGTCCCCATGCCCCTGGCATGGAAGGAGACTTCCCTGCTCCCCTGCCCCTAGGCAAATTAGGGCCTGAGGCGGGGGGGCGGGCGAAGGATCCTCCGGCCTCCCCCCCCCC